GCTGCTACTACTACTACTACTACTACTAATAATAATAATAATAATAATACCACTACTAGTGCTGCTTTGCTGCTGCTGTTGCTTCTAATAATAATAGTAGTAGTAGTAGTAGTAGTAGTAGTAGTAGTAGTAGTAGTAGTAGTAGTAGTAGTAGTAGTAGTAGTAGTAGTAGTAGTAGTAGTAGTAGTAGTAGTAGTAGTAGTAGTAGTAGTAGTAGATGTTCTACCACTTTTTTTAAACACTTTAGTGTTGATCTTTGTTTCGTTTCTTCTGGCATCCTCATCTAAACAGAAAAAAGAGAGCTACTGCTTTTCTTTTATTTCCTTGTTATATCGAGATGATGCAAGCCATGCTCAACCTCGTATGTAAAAAGACATTCCTCCCCTGGAAATATTCTTGGATGTTGTCTTACGGGATGAAATACGCACCGCCATGTCTCTGGAAGTGCAAATACGTGATATCATCAGATTGTCTTGTCCCAGATCAATGGATATTATCTTCAAAAACATTTTGAGAGTCATCTCCCCAAGGCGCTTTATAATAAGAAACCATTATTTTGCCCAGCATTTATTTTCTTATGAAATAGCTTCAAGCCACTCCCCCTACCCTACCCGCCCTAACCCCCCACCCCCCACCCCCGCTTTTTTTTTGGTCTCTCATCCCAACACTTTACTGTCTCTAACATCAATTTCGTTCTGCTATCATTTTCGCTGCCTTTCTTTCCACCCCCCACTCCCTTTTTCCCTTCTTTTCCTCCCTTCTTTTTCCATATCTGAATGAACTTTTCTCTCTGGTTAATGCTATGGCTATTCATCCTTGTTTACATTTTCTTCCTACTCGTCTTTAATTTGTCCTTCTCTTTCATCTCTCACTCCCCATGATCCCAATGCTCTTCCTCCTTCTCGCCATCCTCGTCCTTCTCCTCCTCCTACTTTTCCGCTATCCCTCCTCCACTTCCTCCTTCCCCCCCCCTCCTCATTCACTTCCTCCTCCTTCTCCACATCATTTTCCGTGTCCTTTTTCTGGGTTGTTGTTTTTTCGTTGCCTTATCATTTTTTTTTCGGCCGTGCAGTCTCGGCATCGAGAAGAATAGGACTGACGTGGTGCTAGCGTGTCGTACGAGGCGACTAAATGGCGAACCAGGTAGTGACTCCTGAAACAGAGTCATCCTGCCTCCAGGTCGGGGGTTGAGTCACGAGGCTAACAACCTCTCTCGTAAAAAGAACCTGTTACAGAAACACATACAAGCAAAAACCATTATCTCTGCTTGGCTGATCGTGGATCTTCTCCAATTGGAGAGTTTATGATGCAAGGCAGTGAAAGCCGAAAGGAAGCTGCTCGGCAGAAGCCTCCACCATCATCCAAGTCCAAATCTCTTCGGATCGATATAGAAGTAGAAATAGGACTAAGAAAGTGGCGATGGATGGGGCACACCTTAAGAAAGCCCAGCGGAAACATCACAAGACAGTCACTGCAGTGGAACCCCCAGGGAGCACGAGGCAGGGGTAGGCCACGGCAAACATGGAGGAGATGCGTGGAAAGGGACATGAGAGAAATGAAGCTCACTTGGAACGAGCTTGGAAGGATGGCTCAGGACAGAGATAAATGGAAGGAGCTTGTATGTGGCCTATACCCTGCCAGGGGTGAAAGGCATTGATGATGATGATCATCATTTTTTGTCCTGGTCCTCCTTTCCAAACCCTCCCTCTCCTCCTATTAGTCTAGTTTCACTTTCCTGCAGCTCCCACGCTTTTGTGAGTGTGTGTGTGTGTGTGTGTGTGTGTGTGTGTGTGTGTGTGG